AAGAGGGAGAGGCAGTTCAAGTATTCAAGTGAATGTTACACTCACTGTCTGTTTATCAAGGAAAGTACAGTTTAGTTTCAAGAACTAAGATGTGATAAAGGTTGAAATTAAGCTATGCAATCGATTTGATCTGCCTTGGCTGCATTTTTCAGGTTGCACAGCGGGTGAGCCAGATACGGCTCAATCCTCTGGTCTGTGATGAGCCAAGAATTTCCTGACCATTAAATAATGGTCACATATTTACTATTATTTCAATGCATATTATCATCCATTACTGATAGAATCTTTCACCAATCCAACTTTTCGAACATTCCATACAATTCCATACAAATGTATGTTTATGTAGTATATAAATATGACAAATCTGTACAATTTTAAATGAGGCTTTTAAACTAGACATGCGAGACTCGATTAAGCACAGTATCTTCCTTAGGTCGCATAAGGTGACGAAAGTTTGATAGTAAATATTCCCAAGTGGGTACGAATGGATCAGTGAGATGCTCTAGAGTCACCATCGTGTGAAAGTTTTATCACGCTGCTAAGTTCCTCGTTACAAGCACATATAATTAAACTTTATGAAAATAATTTCTGATTTAACCTCTAGTTCTGCCATGAAATTTATCCCATAGACACCTTCTCATCCAAGATTGACTACTTTTTCTGTCTCTTGGTCTTATCAGATTCTTCAACTTAATTAGAATCTCTTGAGTTTCCTTCTCTTTTTTATGCGTAATAATTTGCTATCTTTATCATTATGATCACAGTATTTACAGCATTGGTTAAAATTGAGTTAAGCTGATTCTCCTTCCCATCCCAATTCCATGATTAATGTTTCAGAGTGTGGTTAAAGTGATGGATATTCCTGCCGGACAGACTCGTGCAGTGCCTCTCAACATCGCCGCGCTTGCCTCCACCGGTCTGGGGAACTTTTGCTTTCGGCCACATATTACTTCTTTAGCCCAGGCACAGTTGATTATGCAAGCTGGTGGCCGACTCTCTGAGGTGCCCTCAGCCGGCACCACTAAGAATGGCGTTGTCTGTAGTGCACCTATTTCAACCACTCTAGTCTACGCCTGGTCCCATCCGACTTATTCGGAAAGTTCAAGTCGCCGCCAAGCAGGACATTCCACAATCGTGGCCGGCGGCGTTGCTGGCGGCTGTCGATTGGTTTCCCCTGCTAGGGATCCTTCGGCAGCCGATTCAGTCTCGAGGTCGGCGGCAGACGCTGCTGTGCATCTGGAGGCCGAAGCCAGTTGCCTACGTAGGCATCGTCAACTTGAAGCGACAAATTGTCGCAAAACTACTACGGTCAGTCAGGCCGCCGCAGCAGCGGCTGCACCAAATCCTAAAGAGTTGCGTAGATCAGCACAGACTCAAGCTGTTACAGCATTAGATGAGGGACATGCTTTTATCAACTCTTCAGATCTTGTCGAGACGAACTGTCCTAACTGGACTCGACTCAAACGTCCAGGTTAGCGAGGCCAGATCTGTTTCTTTGCTTACCCGCTTGCTTTAATTTCTTGCCACATGTATCAGTTATTTTCAATTTGCTTTTGAAATTAAATTATGACAAACCATGACCTATTTTTAAGCGAGTTCTTAATTTCTGATAGTTTCACGCTAATTAATTGCTATTTTTCCTGGGCATATTTTCAACCTCTTCACATGCATTACTAACATTCTATAATTTTATCTACACTGAATCAATTTAAGGATTGATTTCTGATAGCTTTTTATGTCTAAACAGTGTACCTTGGCTAAAACTTGTATTTGGCAGATGGTCCAGAGTCTACAGCTAGTTTTGGCAGCATAGCACTGAGGTGACTTTACCTATTCTCTTTATCTTGTAATGTAATCTTGGATTTTGTGCTTTTATCCTTCTGACTACAGGCCATACAGACTATTCATGGCTCATTTGTCCTCGCGTGATGCATCAGAAGGAACTTGGGCTACTCACTGCTACTAGTGTCGTTGATAGTGACCTGCTGCGGACCCACTTACAAAAGGGTGAGTAAATATACGACATTACTTTGACTCTTTTTCAAATAAACAGATCGTCAATCCAACAGACTTGTATAAATACAGACGACAGCCAGCCAACTAAAGAGAAGTGACGAGTACAATGGATTCGAAAATGAGTCCTACCAGGAGCCGAGGGAGGATTTTATCAAAGTCGTAAATGTAGATTTATGCGAATAAGGATTTGACGGAGGACGCTCTCTATCTGAATTTCTCTCTCTAAGCCTATTCAAAAGCCACTATTAGTTTCCCCTCAATGTCATACGCATTACTTTTATTCTGGGTACTGGTTCTTTTATTTTTTTCTATAACTCTCCCAATCTTCCGCCTACTTGTTTTATTTTTGCATCCTGCTTATCATTTGACTTTATATCAGGCTAGCTGGTATCCGGTGTAAACTATATGTTCGGCCAGTGGTGATTTTTTGACATACATGCCCTTTTAGACACATATTTACGCTCACCTGCGGATTTATGTGAGAGCGAGTCGAATTCCTCTCATTTTTCGTTTCAAACTAAATAAAAGGTACAACAACGGTGAAAAACGACTAATCTATTTCGGGAGGGACAATCGGACTAATGGATACTAGGTTGTACTAGGTGAAATGGCATGCTAAAAGCTTGGCGACTGGGCCTTTTTTCCGCATTTTAGGTTTTATCTTTTTTCTTGTGCCTATCCCATTATGACCTCCATTACCAGGTGCACAACCACTTTTTATTCATGGACGCCTTCCACATCTGCTTAATCATTACTACTTGAGCTGCATGACCTCCCGTGACGCGTTTCCTACCGACCCTATCTGGAATCCAGAGACAAGCGACGGCGAGATTG